GTTTTTTTCCTTTCTTTAATTCTCATATTTGGTATATCTTCACCTTCATCTTTCATCTTGAGAATCTTGCTTAATAATATCTTTTTCCCCTATCTTCATCACGTACAAAAATTTTAAGGACTAAGCATCATTCGACCATACCACACGATGCCTCACCAAGCCAAAAACTAATAATCAAGTTAAGCTTCACCAAGAGCACTTAATCATAGCTCACGACCTTTTTGCATTCTCGTCCCTTCAATCACTACCTCAAAATTCAAAACAAACCTACCTCTATATTCCTTATACAATTTTCAAGTTAACGTACCAGTCCCTATAAAAAAAAAATTACAAATTTCAACCAAGAATTCAACCTAGCTTCACTTATAGATTTCACTCAAATGTAAACAAACCTTCATACTCCAAGAATCTTCCATGGACCACCAAAGAACCTCACTAATTTACCTTTGACTGAGACAAGTTTCTATTGAGGTCAAGGTATGTTCGCACAAATATTTAATCTCTGAGAATATATCTTATTCCAGTAAAAACGTGAGGCTTATATAGGCGTTTATACAAAGATTGAACTACTGCATAATGTATGATAGTTACAGATATACAATGAAGGATGACACCAATGTAGGAGAAAATCCTACAATTGAATAAAGACTAGTTCTCCCTATAAATTAGGAGATTTATTTTAAAATGTTAAAAAACCTTAAAAAACAAACTAATTAACATTCCCTCCTTTAAGCTATATGCAGTGCTGCATTTAGCTTAGTTCACTACTTTCGAAAACTCCAAGCATGCGGCAAATCTTTCAAACTGCTCAAGCTTCAATGCTTTGGTCATTATGTCATCAAATTGTTCTTCTGAGCAACAATAACTAAGACAAACACCTTGATCTTTAACTAAATCTCTAAGAAAAATGAAATCTCACTGCAGTATGTTTACTCCTTCTATGGAAGATAGGATTCTTAGACAACTAAATAGTAGGACTGTTATCACATAGGATTTCTGTTGCATTTTTTTTCTTCTGATACAAAGTGTTCCAAAATTCTACGGAGCCAAATGCACTGACACGTGCAAAATGATGCAGCAATATACTCTATTTCAGTTGTAGATAAGCTCACCACATGTTGTTTCTTTGAGACCCATAAGCTCTAGTGCCTATTAAGAAAATTGAACCAGAAGTGCTTCTTTTATCATCTACCTCTCCTGCATAATTGTTGTCACTGTAGGCTGTAAGATCGATCTTTCTTCCCTGTTGGTAGAAGATACCATACTCAATAGTGCCTTTGAGATATCTTGAGATTCTTTTTGCTATAACCCAATATGATTCCTTTGGATTTGGCATGTATCTACTAATTAGGCTTACCCCATACATTAAATTTGGTCGAGTAATTTTGAGATACATGTTTCGTGCTTAAACTTTGTACAATCTAACGAAACCCCTTCCTCATCTCTAGATAGTGTTATTCTTGGTAAAATAGGATTCCACACTGAATTACTTTCTGTCCTATTGAACCGAGCCAATATCCCCCGAGCATATCGTCTTTGACAGATAAAAATCCCTGCATTGCTTTGTACAACTTCTATTCCAAGAAAGTATCTCATTTTTCCAAGATCACTCATATCAAATTCCCTCTTCATTGAGTTTTTAAATTCATCACACATGTGTTTACTATTTCCAGTTAAGAGCAATTCATCAACATAAAGACTGACTATTAAAATATTATCCTAATTTTTTTTTGGTGAACAAGTTACGTTCACTTGAACATCAGTTAAACCGTTCTTTGGCAAAATAAGCTTCAATTTTACTGTAACAAGCTCGTGGGGCCTACTTGAGCCCATATAGAGCTTTTTGAAGTTGGTAAACTAGAGTATCTCTGCCTTTCTGGATGAAACCTGCCAGTTGTTGAACATATACCTCTTCTTGAAGATCACCATGCAAGAATGCACTATTTACATCAAGTTGAAATACATCTCATGCACTCTGAGCAACTAACACTAACAACAATCTCACTGTATCAAGTCTAGCAACCAAAGAAAACATCTCGGTATAGTCTATTCCATACCTTTGCGCATAACCTTTGACCACCAATCTGGTTTTGTACATCTCTACATGACCATTTTCATTGAATTTGGTCTTGAAAACCCATTTAATGCCAATGGGTGTAACCCCTGCTGGTGGATCTACAAGATGCCATATATTATGTTTCTCAATGGCCTCCATTTCAACCTTCATTGCTTCTCTCCACTGTTGACTTGTCCATGCCTCTTCAAAAGAGTGGGGATCTGCAGATTTGATCAATATCATTGCTAGCAATCTGTCATTCTCTTCCACTAATAGATTAGTTTCGTAGTCTGTCATCCACGTAGGTGGTCTTCGGATCCTGGTTATCCTCCTTGCAACTGGAGATTCAATGTGTTCGGAAATAGAATCTGATGTGTTATGATCTGCATCATTGTTGATTGCCACTCCCTATGATACACACTCATGTTCAGAATTTTCATCTTCTCCAATCACTTTGTCTTCCCAATCAAGAACATCAATCTTATTTTTCTCAAAGTTATCTTGCCAATTCCAGGTTTTCTCTTCTTCAAATACAACATCCCTGCTTACTATAACTTTTTTTGTAATAGGATTAAACAATTTATAAGCTTTAAATTTGTCACTTACCCCCAAGAAAACACACTTCTGACTTCTATCATCCAACTTTCTTCTATTCTGATTTGGAATGTGAGCATGTGCAATACATCCAAACGTTCGAAAATAATCAACACATGATTTTGATCCACTCCATATCTCTTCTAGTGTTTGATGATCTATAGCAGATGTAGGGCTTATGTTTTGAACATGCACACACCATCATACTGCCTTAGGCCAAAAAGGTTGGGAATATATTTTTCATGTAAAACAGCATGCACCACATTCATAACGGTGCGATTTTTTTTGTTTAACAACTCTATTCTGCTGTGGCGTATAAGCAACTATTAATTGCCTGGATATACCTTGTTGAGTGCAGAAATCAACAAATTCCTTAGAGGTGAAATCTCCACCTCTATCAGTTCTAAGGCAAGTGATGAAGACACCAGCTTCCTTCTCAACGTAGACTTTGAAGCTTTTGAAAATAGTAAATGCTTCAGATTTCTCATGTAAGAAATAAACTCAAGCTTTACGTGAATAATCATCAATAAAGCTTATAATGTACCTTTTGTTACTATGAGAGGACGGTGAGATGGAACTGCAAATATCAGCTGGAGTTTTGTGAAGGCTCGCTACGTGCTATGCTTTGGTAAGGTATCTTTGTGTTTTTTACTTAGGCAAGTAATGTAGATTTCTTTGGGTGGTTTCAAAGGTGGTAATCCTATAATCATTTGCTTACTTGCAAGCATATAAAGATCCTTGAAATTATGATGTCCAAATCGTCGATGTCATAAGTGCGTTTTTGTTTTTGAAATTTCTTCAGTTTGAAGGCAATGGGAGTGTAGTGAAGCCGACAAATAGAATATTTGGATTCCCTTCATATTGGTCTGTATAATGAGACCTCGCTCTGGATGAAAAACTTTGCACATGTCGTTTTGAATTAGGATAGACAAACCTTTCTCTTATAGTTGTCCTAAGCTTAAGAGATTAGTCTTAAGTTCAGGCACATAATAGACATCTGATATAAGATGAGGGGTGCCATTAATCTCAACTCGAACACTCCCTTTTGCTGTGACAGCAACAGTTGAATCATTGTCAAGTTTGATAGTTCTATTAATTCCTTCTTCTTGTATTTCTGTGAACCACAACTTATTTCCGGTCATGTGATTACTACAACTGGAGTCTAGGAACCAATCCTTCTTCTATACAGTTTGTGTTTCCTCATATGCAACTAGCAAAAGTTCTTCCTCTATCTCTATTGCTTCTTCCAATGATGTGTATTGAGTCTTTTTCTCTAACTCAGGACACTCATTGATAGTGACCTAACTTGTAATAGTGAAAACACTCAATGAACGCTTTATTATGCGTGTATCTTTCGTATCTTCTTCCACGTCCACGACCATTTCTGTCATGATATTGACCAACTACTGATTTATCATCATGAACGACCTTCAGCACTTGCTCATCGGGTTGACAATCTTGCATCCTTTGCTCATGAACAAGTAGGCTTCCATGAAGTTCATCAAGGTTAAGGATACTCAGATATTTGGATTCCTCAATTGAACACACAACATAGTTAAACTTTGAAGTTAATGATCTGAGAATTTTGCTAACCACCATGCTTGTGTTTATCACTTCATCATTGGATTTTATCTTATTAACAATGTTAAGCGTACGTCCAAGATAGGTGTCCACTTTCTCACCTTCTCTTATTCTCAGCAACTCGAATTCACGGCGTAATGCTTAAAGCTGAGTGCGCTCGACTCTTGTAGATCCCTGATATTTTTGTTGCATGGACTACCTACCATATGACCTGTAACGTGCTCTTGTCCAATATAGTTTCAAGAATTTCTCTATCAATAGCTTGAAACAAGTAGTTCTTCTCCTTCAGATCTTTAAGGTTGGCCTCAAACACACTCTTCCACTGTGCTTCCAAGCTTTGGAATTCCCTCCTTTACGAGCGCCCATAATTCTTTGCTTCATAGAAAGATTTTTATCGTCATGGTCCAAAAATTATAATGGCCATCAAACCTTGGGATGGCTGGTTGCACACTCTCTCACACTGTTTTCACTCATGCACACTTTGTATCAAGCCCCTTACGGAGTTCTGATACTAATTGTTGAGGTCAAGGTATGTTCGCACAAATATTTAATCTCTGAGAATATATCTTATTCCAATAAAAACGTGAGGCTTGTATAGGCCTTTATATAATGACTGAACTATTACAAAATACTTGACCGTTACAAATATACAATGAAGGATAACACCAATGTAGGAGAAAATCCTACAGTTGAATAAAGACTAGTTCTCTCTATAAAATAGAAGATTTATTTTAAAACGTTAAAAAACATTAAAAACAAACTAACTAACAGTTTCATCATGCATTATTCTATGAGCGCCAATTCTCGTACACCCAATTTTTGCCTCCATGCAATAGACCCTGTTTACATGGTATTTTTTATTAATTTTTGTTACTAAGCTGAGAAATCTGATTATTAATAAAAAATTCAAAGTTAGAAAAAGCAAAAAATGGGAAGAAGCATATCTAGGAAGAAGCAAGTTAAACTCTATTTGTTGTCGGGAAAGAAGCGTTGTGCCTCAATTGTCTTGCGTCTCATCTCTATTGCCTTGCATCGCACCTCCACTACCTTTCCTCACCCCATCGTTGCCTTGTTTTTTTCATCCGTTGTGTTCCCTCGCCCCACTGCTACCTTGCATTGCATTGCATATTTGTTGCTTTGCCTTGCTACGCCATCACGTCTATCCTTAAAAATTTGAACCTTCTAATATCCAAACTATCATTTCTAAATCTCCCTTCATTTGCATCAACACTTTTTTTGAATTGCAAGTTCACAAATGTCATAAACATTATAATTGCAATCTTCTTTCTCTTTTTCACTTGGCTCAAACAAGTATTCATTAACAATGATTGATGATAATATATCAAAATTGAAAAAATGTAATATGACCAAATTTAAAGCAAATGCACATCTTATATCTTTACTCGTTCTTTGTACCTCAACAATCAATAATTTGAGGAAAACGACTGATGTTTGTTAAAGTACAAAGTGATATATGATCAATTTTTTATATCTTTGATACGATACATTATAAAATAAATAATACAACAAGTGTGAACAATATTAATCAATATTTATTAAATTCAAGTATGCTCGCATATGCAATATAACAATATAATCACCAATGCGGATCTAGGTTTGGCTAGTGCCTTCAAAGTAATAAATACATGCATGACTTGAACTATTCACTTAAAAAATTATGCACAACTAACTCCCAATTATATGAACCAAAGTCATCATCATCATCTAAAAGTATTACAACACTCAAATTAAAAATTTTGCCTAAAAATTGAAAATAAAAAAATAAATAAAAATAATATATAAACTCTTCAAAAGACTTCAACATCATCTTCACTGTATAGGTAATGCTCACCAACTACCAACAAACTTATAGTTGAATAAATGTCTAAAAGTGTTAACAACACAACATTAGACCTAATTCTAAAACTACAAATATCATGTATTCACTTATTAACTAATTGGTTTAGTAATACACTAAACTCTTTTTTTTCAATTATTATTGTTTTGAATAGTGTTATTGAAATTTACCTTTTTTTTTTAAACTACTTAATGTAGAATTTACATTAACTAACAACTTTATATTCATGCAATATTTTACATATATTGAAAACATGTAAAAGAATTATTATTCATAATTATTATAACAAAACAAATTATACACTGAATATTTACACACCTTTTTACAAATATAATTAATATGATCATCACTATAATCAATCAACTTAACACAGTCATATGAATTCTTTTAAAGCTTCAATACTAAAAAATAAACATAATAAAAATGTTAATAAAACATAATACAAAACATTAATATTAAAAAACTATCACAAAGTTGGCCTTGCTATGATAATTACTTAGTGTCCAAAATGGAACAACAACAAATTCAGTAAGTTATTACATAAGAGGGACATTTTATTTTACCTATATAACGAATTATAAATAAATACAATACACTTTCTTACTATACTATTCAACCAAACAAAAAGAATGAACAAAAGTGCTGAGGTGGTTGACACTAAGAAAGTGTGTTACATGTTGTTAGTTGTACCAAGTTCTATGAAATAGAGAAGCCTATGTTAATGGAAACATTAAATTCATTTGAAACCAATTACTCTTGTCTACATACAAGAATGAAGAAAAATGATCCAAACATAGAATCATATGCACGAAGTCACAACCGAAGAACAAACAATTTGTATGCTCATGAATCACCAATTCATAACAAATCTCCATTTCTAGCGTATACAAAACTAAGAATGCTGAACAAAACGCGTTTTGTAAAATATCCCCAAATTTTAGGTTTCTCTCTATCGATCAATGTCTCTCCACATATATCCACCTCATCATGCTTAAACAAAATTTAGTTAAATTGTTAAATTTTATTGTTGACTAATTCTTAACTTATTAATAATAACTTAATATAAAATATATTATATTGAACATAAAGAGCGAATAAGAATTTAGTTAAATAAGAAGAATTCAATATTTATTTTTCACATTTATTATTTTATAATTTAATTACTCAAATAAATTGTTAAGGTTCCAACATAAAACCAATTAGCTAACATGTATTTAAACCATACCAAATGATACTGAGATAGGTGATGTGGGACTTTCAACATTCCTCCTCCAACGAGGTCTGCTGGACCAGGCTTGACCCATAACAATAATCGAAAAGATGTTAGACTTTGACTCGATATCATGTTAAAGTTTTAACATAAAACAAATTAGCAATATGTGAAGTAGCTTAACATGTATTTAAATCATACCAAATGACATGATGTAGATGAGGTAGGTGACGTAGATCTTTCAACATAAATTATTATTTTAAATTATTAAATTTAGATCAAATAATATATGTTTAACTTTTAATCTTAAATCAACTTAATTTTGGAAATGTGTACATATGACTCATATCATATGAATCCCAGATAAAGGTGACATTAATTTTGTACTTTACACTTCAAATTCAATCATCACTTTTCTTCTGTCTTCGCATTCAATGCAACATTAATCGATCTGCACAACATCATGTAATTTTGGATTTACTCACGATATTATATCATAACAATCTTATTGAAAATTAATTTCTACAGAGAACTTTTTAATGTATTATTTTTAGTGTTAAGCTAATATCTAAATAATTAAACTATATTAAAACTTGTGTAACCACATTCATCTTTGTTAAATAAAAAATAAAAAATTCAGTGGTTGTCTTCCCCTAATAGCAAGTACAATCTTGTTCAAAATAACATCAACATTAAATACAATCATAACACTTCTTTTAACATGGAGTTTAGTATATGTTAAAAGAATATGGGTGTAAGTTTAATATCTTGCTTAAAAAAAACAAAACTATTTAATTAATCAAAGTGAAATTGTATGCATTTGCTGAATTTGCTTTTCATCATATAATTAATCAAAGGGAAAGTGTCACTTTACTTATATCTCATCCTCAACTCCCAAAGTGATTTTTCTCAAAAGAACATAAATAATATTTGATAAATATAAGTTAGAAATGAAACAAATGAGTCAGATTTTTTTTTGTTCAAGTTATAATGGATTGGATGAAAACAAATTATTAATCTATTTTGGGTAATTAAAAATCTAATTTATTAATACAAATTTAATTTGATTCGCCCATTGACAAATTTTTCTTATCCATATATAATTTTTTTCAAAACAAAATTAAAGTTCTACTTTTTAGAAAAAAAATCAAAGATAAATTTTTTAAAACAATAATAAAAATATATTTTTGAATTTAAAAAAATCAATTTAAGGAAGATTTATTAATTAAAAATTACTATTGATTAAAGGATTCATTCGACTTAAAGAAATAATGAATAAATCATTAACCCATAAATTAAAGAGATATATTTAATGCAATCAATTTTTTGTATAGTGAATGGATTAGATAAATTTAGTTATCTCTTGATAACCTTTGTTGTCACTTTTAAGGAATGAATGTTAACAATAAAAACATATCAAACACAGATTTCATACTCACTAAATTTTTCATGAAAAATAAAATAAAATTGTCTTAATATTTATTACCCATTACCAGATGGCTAAACAATAATTTTAAGTTTCAAACTTTTCAGCCATGAATCACCCACACATTTCCAATTGAATAGAACTTCGGTTCTGAGGAATCGAATAGACTGGGTTGCACTAAATTTGGGCCACTTTTTTTTCTAGGCTATTCCTTTCTCTACCCCATAATTTCTCCCTACACCCTCTTAATTAAATTAAACTCGATTTTACCCTTACACATTACAGAGAGTGAGAAAACTGAATTTTTTTTTTTAAAACATGTTCCAAAAAATGCTTTCCGGGATGTATTTTCATAATTGATTTTCTAAAATTCTAAAATTTATTTCCAGAATTAATTTTCTAAAAATGTATTCTATAACACATTTTTTAAAATATATTTTCAGAATTGATTTTCTAGAAATGTATTTCAAAAAATAGATTCTAAAATACATTTTCAGAATTGATTTCCTAGAAATATATTTCAGATTCGTCTTTTCAGAATTAATTTCTAAAAATGTATTTCACTATAATGAATGTTCCAAAATTCAACCTCATTTTTTCATGATACTATTTTAGATTAAACAATTTAGATCTGAATGTGTAATTTGAGTGAATTTGAGTAAATAAAATGTAATTCATATATAATATTAATGATTACTTATTTTCAATTGTTAAAAAATGTCTTCAATGGAGATGATAGCAAAAAAATCAAATAACCAAAAAATGGAAATATGGAAATACTGAAGGATGAAATTGCAGAAATTATATACAAATAAAAGAAAAAATTAGGATAAAACATAGAATTATAAAAAAAATATTGAGATGCGTAGAGAAATTATGTGAGCATGCATTGTCTCTTATAATAAGTTGTAAATTCCAAATTAAAATCTCTTTTTCCTGATTGATAAACCTTTTAAAATGTTTCTTGATATTTTTCTAAAATTTGTTTTTTGTTCCTCACCAACTTAGCCATTCAATATATTTCTAGGAAACCAACAGTTTTTTTCCACTTAGTATTACTACACTTTTCATGTTTGATTCTCCGTTTCTTGAAATTTCATATTTTTAATGTAACCCCTCTTCTTACACATATATACGGTATAATGTATTTCTGAAATAATAAATTTATATGCTGTATATTTTCAAAATAATTAAGAAAGCCACTGCAAATATTGTGAAATAGAGAGGATATGGTGTGAAAAATTAAAAAAACAAGATACTAAAAAACAAGTTAAAAATATTTTTTAAAAATTAAATGATTTTTTTTTTACAAAATTATTATACTAATAATTTAAAACATTACTTTAGTTTTAAATTTAAATTCAAAGAAACTAAAGTCCAACCCATGAAAGTTATCTGAAACGCTCATGGTACATGCCATCATTATTAACATATAATGCAAAGTGCTCTTGGTATATTATTTACAATGTTGTACCAATTATTATTAATATTATTGTAACAAGCACATAATGATAGATCTCAGACAAAGTCCTAGAATATGTACATTCCCGAATAATATGTTCATACAGCCAGATACATGAATCAGGATTCTTACCATCAAAGGGGTATCAGAATTGTCTGCACCAAATGCAACAACAGAAAATAGCCACGGATTGCCACAAGCTGGAGACAAATTGAGTTGAATTGAGACATAAAGACAGGGTCATGTGGGATTGGGAATCTCCCCATCCAGTTCACTAGTAAACTTCCTTCAAGCATTGCATTATTTGCTCCTCTCAAATCAGGAGTTGTTCACTCAAACCCTCCACCAAACACAACAATACAAAACCATGGAGTTTTTTTTAAGCTCATTTTCTCAATTGGTGGCTTCAGAATCACTGTGGTCGTTATCTTCTCCACCATCAAACAATGCGGCACCGTCCGAGGTAATCTCTAAGTTTCCTACAGACACCAGGTCAATAGAAGTGTCCCCTGTGGCCAACATAAAGTTATGAACAAGGTCGGATTGTACAAGCTTGAACTTATGCTCTGAGGTGTGTTGTTGATTAAATCGGCCAGGAAGCTTGGAGCGAGTTGCATAGCAATCACCGCAAAGATCAAAACCCATTTTCTCCTTACAATCAGTGCACTTATATCTATCTCCAATTATTGGAAACATCTGCGATGAGGTATCAGTCACACGTTAGCATACTGCACAAAACTAGAAGCATAACAATAATGGACACTCCAACTTCAAGAGAAAATACTAAGTTAAAAAAAGTAAACAATGACTAGTTTGTTTACTGCTTTCAAAAACAATTTTGTTTTCTAAAATTTGTTTGTCCCCTAAGCAAATTTGGAAGTGTTTGTCCCCTGAGTATATTTTTTTATTTCTAAAACTTTCTCTCTTGAGCATTTGAACAGAGCACTAGAAGAAAACAGGATAAGTAAACATGTCACCTTGTATTCGTTATAAATACACTTGTTTTGGAAACAGTTTTTTAAACCTAGTTTATTTTAGAATGAGAAATTGTTTGCCATTAGTGTGGAATTATTTTAGAAAACTATTCTTAAAACAAAATTGTTAAAAGGGAATCAAACAGGCCTTAAATCTTTTCAGGTTGGCATCTGAAATAATGACTACAAATATTGAACTCTTGCCTCTTTGCTGAAGCAAAGATTATTATATTATTTATCACGTTGAATAATATACAAAATATGGTTTCAACAGAATGCAATTGCCATATAAAACCTTGTATACATCAACTTAAAAACAACAAAATAGAAATTAGTTATCAGATGAATATCTATAAAGGCTTCGTTAATCTAGTGTAGGTTCTTCAACTATATGAAAATGCACAAGTATTGTAAGTTAGCAGTGTGCTGCAAATAAGCAAGTTATAATTACAGTATTCTAGCTTGAACAAGGAATCTATAACTCCTTTTGTGTACAAGCGACACCCGAAGTGTCAATTACAAGTCAATACATAGTCATTAACGAAGACAAGCAACCACATGAAATGACCACCATCAATCTAGGTCAATGAGATAGAGAAACTTGATGTAGTGTATGATCTACTATTGGACAATAAATGAAATGAATGTAAAAGTCATAAAGAAAAACAAAAGAAAATGGAAAACAAAGCAACATGATGAACAAAAAAAAAAATGGAAGATATGATGGAATAGAGCTTTTACCCCGCAAAAATCACAACCAACTCCAATGTGAACTTTTGAGTCGGGATCTAACCACCAATCTCTATTTTCTCCTTTGTTACCATTATCCAATGAACCTGAAAGAAAACCAATACAAGTAACTGGAAGAACATGAAAAAAGAGAGAAAAATATGAAAGAAACACCACATAACAATAAGTCAACCACTTGGGAAATATCTAGAAAACATCATAAAATATTTTACTACTGTAGATGATATCACAGGAGTAATTTCCGTATTGTAATATATTTCATACTTTGTTTGCTTGTTTAAGTAAATTAGGATTCAACTATTTAGTATAATAGTGATTATGCTTAAATGCTCAATACTTTAACGGGCCAAACCATATAAAAGATTCTAGGTAAAAATGTATCTTTAGTCCCTATACTTTCAAGGTCAAGATTCCTATACTTTTATATTGACGAATTTGTTACTAAAACTTTAACAAAAATGTGAATTTAGTCCTTCTGAACTTCAAAAAACACGATGAATTATTAAAAAGACCAGATTCATCAATATGAAAATATAAGAACCCCTTGACCATATTTGACCGAGTATAAGAAGTAAAACACATTTTCCAATGTTCTATCATATTCATAATACAAAGCTTAAATATATTCACATTCTCAAAGTAGTACGTTTCAAGATATCAGTCATAATAAAAATGTACGCAATATACATACAGGAGGAAGGGGTTTCAAGTTTGACTTTGATTTGCTGTATTTCAATGGCATCTCTCCGCTGTCTATATTCTTCAGGAAATTTTTCCTCTAAAAAGTGATCCAACTCCAAGCATACTTTTGGAAATCCTCTGGGATGTGGACTTTGACAAACTTGGCATCTGAGCATGTCATCATCTATGTTGATGACACAAGTTTGACAGCATACTGATGGGAATGAGGAAAAGTAGAACAAAATCAATATACCATTAAATGTTGTTATTAATAAATCCAATCTGTTATAATTGAAAGGAAACTTAAATGCATTGATTACCATGACCACAATTAAGAACTACAGGATGAAAGAGCAGTTGCTTGCACATTGTACAAGTCACATCTGCAACTGATAGTTTCTGTTGGAGAGAAATCTCTTCCTGAGGAGTTGCAATAATATTAGGTTTTCGATCAGAATGGATGGTTCCTTCATCTCCTTCATGGGTAGTGGACCCTAATTGCTCCATACATTCAGAAGTTTCCACATTGCATGAGTTGGATGTCAACTTCATAGCGGAGGAGGAAGAAGGGATACCAGAATGACCAAATTTAGCTTGTGATTCACATGTATCAGGATCAAATTGAGGAGAGTAGAATCCTGATTTTTTTTCTTCCACTGAAGCAAGATGTCAATAAGAATGATTGTCAAAACTAGCCCAACAAAGTAGACAAAAGGATTACTTCTATGCTAAATATTCCTTTCTAGACATTGGCATCAAAGAAGGAGAAAACTGCATTTTCACGAAGAATGCACAGAATACCAAGAATAATAATGCAGTAAAAAAGAAAAAACAAAATCATATGATAAATATTTGGATATCAATAAAACACAAGGACAAAAAATCCAAAACAGAAAAGAATAAAAAGTTTATCCATGCAAGGCCTAGTTTAGATAAACTTCTCAATAAACTCCATGTAAGAGAAAAAAATGAGGCAAGATGAATCATTCTTGCATAAGTTAAAATCAATTTATGCACTTTAGTTTTTCTATTAATTTATCTCATCTACTCCAAAAGCTAAGGTGCATAACTTGATTCCAACATATGCAAGATGTTTGATTCATTTTATTTTCCTACTTCTTCTCCTATTTATGTTTTTTGAGAAGTTTATCCAGACTAAGCACAATTCTAATCCAACAAGACATGCGGATACTTCTAATGGTCGCCAGTATCTTGTATGTATTACAGTAGAAGGTATATATAGTATTCATTGGGTACTTTTAGAGAAGAAAAATGAGAAACATAAGATGGAATCCGTTTGTAAATTACAGACAAGGTGAAAGATATTAGTGATAATAAGTGAGACAAAAATACAAGAATTTATAGTTACCCTGCCATAATTACATATACAGAACGAAATATCAGCCTAAAATAACCCTATTTACTTTATTCCTAACATTTCACTTCAAGTTGGAACATATAAATATGTCACTAATCTTTAACATATATAACTTATTTGAAGACCTCCCAATGATTTGGTGAAGACATCTACTATTGATCAATTGAATGGAAGAAGCTAGTTGTAATGTCTCTAGATAAGATCTCTGACATGAAACAACAATCTATCTTAATATGTAGGGCTACTGATTATGGTACACAACTATCAATGTTTACACATTACATGTGGATTGGTGGATTTCTCATATTTAATATTGCTGCACAAGTAACTATTTTTATGGCAAGAAATTATGATCCGATTATTTAATAGAATGATCTATTAGATTTGGAGAACATCTTAAATAAATAGTGAATTACAACTCTATTGAATTGCTATTGGTGCTTAGGTCTTTGCCACCCTAATGCCCTCTCACAAAATATAGGATTTGTAAGATGATGAGATGGGCAGCTTGATTGTGACAAATGGGTTTCATTTGCTTAACCTCCCTAAACATTATTTCTTGCAGCAACTTTTAAAGACAAAAATTCTCAAAGGTGGCTTCAACATAGCCCAATGAAATCTTACAATATTAATTTCTTATTTTCCAATGAAACCAAATTAACAAATACACAATAACCGATGGGTCTGCCCCCACAACCCAAGTATTTGGTGGATGGAAGGCACAAACAACTGTCAAAAGATGTACCAATGAGGCAGAGCTAAAGTAAGGACAGTTTCCAGAAAAATATTTAGTCAACAATGCATAGTCAGTCCACTAGGTAATCACAGATTGGGATTGTCTCCCATTAGGATCTAGATACCATGTTTAATCAGCTTGCGGTCAATGCCACAGTCTTTCTCTTTCCTACATGTATTTCACGATTCAAGAGGTTGTTTCAATAAAAGTATTGAAGTGTCTTATGGTAACTAAGAGAATTAGAGAAGATGAATTATATGAAAAGTCCTTGATGAGAAAATTTAAAACAAATGTTCAGACAGCTTATGAGTGATATCTCATAGAGAAGAAAACCTAAACCTAAACTGACATAATTCGTGGTGGAAGAGACCAATCCAAGGGAAAGAAAGGAGAGAAGATGGCTACTTTAGACTGCTATGATTAGAACAAATTTTCTTTTTTTCTGGGCAACAAAAGTTCTGTTACTATTTCCCCTGCCACCCTGCATGTTGATAAGAAGGAAACCATCTATCACAAGAAAAAAACCACCACCTGGAGGAGGAAGGTATAATAATATCATAAACTAAAGTTATTTCAAAGATAAAGTTTGTGCTCCCATTCTGGATTATTTCATATGATTCACATTGAACGTGTTATTTGACTAATTCAATGGATATAATTTAACAACTTTTTACTTCTGATGTATTTTCTTGCAAGATTATTGCTTTATGCCCCTTAGTGTTGAGTTGTGCAATAATAGTCATAACTCAAGTAATCAATTAGAATGCATCTTATGTTCAGTTGCTGGCTGACAATTTGGTATCAGATCCATTTGGTGGTCTGATCATATGAATTTAAGAACATAGCAATAAAGTTTTGAATGGAGGTGAGGTACCTAGCCCAATCGAAACTCACATCTACCTTCACAACAAAATCAAAACCTGATGCCATGAAGTGAGGTTGGCTACATGGACTAATTAACTGAAGACTTGACACCATTTAATGGATTCTCTAAATCTTTTTTTAATGGATTCTCTACATTTACAGTATTTAGATCAAGGTCTTTAATGGATTCTCTAAATCTTTTGTTAAGTCATCCTCTACCATTTTTAATTGAACTAGCTTCCCTTTGATCCAATTTTCTCACTATAATCTATATCGATTTTTTCCTCACAAACAACCGTGAGCTTCCATAATAGATGCTACCCGATACTTTTCCTTTAACCATCCATCCATCTTAGCATTGGGTTATGTAAAATAGAACAAGGAATCCTAACTTGAGCTTGTGCCAGTACAGAAAAAATAATGGATCTGATAGAAGTAGCAATAATAACTGATAATCAGTCATGTTGCAATGCATTGAGCACACAGCTTGAGCAGATAACCATCAATAGAAGACCATCGTAATTTTAGAAACAACATTCTATTCGATGCATTGTACAATAAATCATAGAGATGTATAAAAATCATTTCATACGTGTATATTTATTATGCTCGTGCATAAGCCATTAGGGAAAGTGACATACCAAGAATTTGGCTTTCCCTTCTCTTGTAAGCAACAGTATAGATCTTAAGAAGCAAAAAGTGAAGCAATTGGCAGACTGTTGGGAAGTGATAGTATTGATGCCTACAAACTGGACATTGAGACTCGCGCAGACAATTCATTGAATAATAGACACACCAGAAACAGCATATGTGGCCACATGCTGCAAATAGAGAGGAAAAAGCACTGAGAATTTATCAAACTGATAACATATTCACTTGATTTTGTAGAAAATTATGCTGCCTTACATAGCACAATGGGCTTGTATAATAGATCCCTGCATAATGAAAGTAAAGTCAATATACATAATTTGAAAGGAAAATATGGCAGCTCATTCACCAACTTAAAATGACACAATAGCTGATCCAGTTCTCAAACAATAGATTAAAAATTTCATAGCTCAAGTATATGCAGCCTTTAGTCATACATCAAAAGACAATTTTTGGGGTTTTGGAGTCAAACTCATTGGCTATTTTTTAAAGCAAAATATTAAAAAAAATGGAGGAATTATTACTCTGATTTATTCCTTTTCTCAGCATCTACACCACGCTCAATGAATTTGACATTTAATTGAAAATTCAAAAGTAAAATGCTCATGTACCAACTTCAAGATCGAGAAGAAGAAAAAAAAAACACCTTGGAACTGTTCACATCAACACGGCTCGAATCGAGAATAAAATTCTTGTTTTTTAAGAAAATAACGGCATCCCCGGTGACCCTTTTGAAATACGAAAAAAAAAATTAAATAAATAAAGCACACAATTGTACCTTGATGAATAACATAAAAACAGAAGAAATAAAACTAAAATGATTTTCAATTGGAAGAGACTTACAGACAAACGCAGCAAACGAAGGAATCGGGGATTTCTTCGTGTTCATTGTCCGCAAAGACTCGATCTCTGAATGCGTTGTTCTCCATCTAGCGAATGTTCCAACAACGCAGAGAGAGAGAATGCGGTGGTGTCACAGCAGAATCAGGATAGGAACGAACGAAGGGACCTGCTGTTTTGTACAATATATATTTAATATGTTATTACTTGAATTAAAGGCCACAATATAATTCTTTTAAAGAATAAGAGGCTGAATTAAAAAACTCAAACGACGAAATAAATTTAATATTTAAGTCTAACATATGATTGGAAATCACGTAATTATCGTGCATCTCATTTCTTATTTATTTAATGAGTTTAGTTCATAATTTATATTTTTAATGATTTTAGAGAAAATGTTTGTTTAGTCCTTCTATTTTTTATATTTCTCAACTTTTAAGAAGATGTAAATTTGATCTCCATTTAATTTTTAAAAACAGAATATATTCTTTACAAAAATAAAATTTACATATTTTAAAATTTGATAATCATATTTAAGTTAACAAAAAAATATAGGAACTAAAAATATTATTTCTTTTAAATTTTAATAAACAACAAAAAAGAGTGTTAATATAGGATTGAAAATAGGTTGGATTTAAAATAAGTTTGACCTACTTAAAATAATTTAATTTAAATTTGATTATTTCTTTATTATGACTTTTATTTTAGTATAGCTTGTTTGAAAGTTTAATTAGTTCGTTCGTATTAAAATTTTTAGGTTCATATGACTTATTCGTGTAAAACTTGTCTGACTAATAAATATATTTTAAGTTCCTTAAATTTTTGTTCAAATTAAGTTTTGTCTCCATATTTTTAATATAATCCTTTTAGTTTTTTTTATCAATGTATTTTTAAAATATATTGAATTTTCAGTCTTTTATGTAATAAAAAAATATATAATTAAGAACAAGCTCTATTAATATTTGAGAAAATATTAATTAAAAACACATTTTGTTCAAATAACAGCTACTTAAGATTACAAATTTAAGAAACTAAGGTAACCTAATTTTGTTTTATGAATATATTTTCATAGTATAACCAAAATTTGTTTTATGAATACAACATGTTTATATATGTAAAATCTATGTTTAAGGTAAATTTAATTGGAGTTTATTTGTAAATTGAAACATTTTTGTTTTTGTCTTTATTTTTCGTGTGCAACGATGGAAGTGAAATTGTGAGTATTTTATTTAAGCAATGATTATCAGAATATTCATGAAAACGACTGTTTTTTAGAAACAATGTTAGTCACTCTCTGTCAATAGTCGTGAAATGTGTTGTTTGAAAAATGGTAAACAAATTGAAAGTGAAATGTTTTTAAAAAAATATTTTAAACGATTGAATTATAACTAAGTTGTACAATACTAAAAGTATAAGTTATCATTTATTTTATTTTATAATACTAAACTATTTATTTATCATTAATAATTAGTTCCACATTTTTATTTTCGTATATTCACAATATATAATATATTTTTCATGTATACTTCAAAAGTAACTTAATTGTAGTGTAGAAATAAATTATTACTTTGATAATTCCAAGATAATAAGGTTAAAGCAAATTTAGTTTTAAGTTTTACTTTAATTTAGAGTTAAATGTGTTTACCAATTACATATAAAAGATGATCCAATAATTACGTTTTTTTAAAAGAGAAATTGTATTAAATATTTATTATGAGATTATGTTAAATGATATTCACCTTCTCACTAATTTTAAAATAGATACATACTTTTTTTTAATTAGAAAACTTACATTTTAAATTACATTCATCGATTTTAATAATTTTTTTTTTCATAAACTGAAACTCGCCTCTTTATTTCATTTTAAAATAATACAATAAAATTATAAAATAAACATTAAAGTTTTATAATATACAATTTTAAAAATATATAAAAAATATTCAATAATTTAGTTAGGTCAAATTTATACTCATCTAGTCTATTGCCTTAGTATAACGTTAATAATTTATAGTTTTAAAAGTAATGAAGTAACATTTATATTCCTTTATTGTATTTGTATTTATAACGTATCAAAACTATTTAAAAATATTTTTACATTAAAATATTTCTCAAAATATAATTTTTAATATAGACAATTTATAGTGATAATATAAAAAAATATTTTCAATATATAATTGTTAAATTATTCATTTTTTTAACAAATTCTGTAAGTTATATATTTTAAAATTTATTTTAATTAAGATTTATTTAATATGCTATTTTTAAATGAAATAAAAGAGGTGAATGTTACTTTATTAAATACATGAATAAAATAGAAATGTTAAATTAATAATAATTTGTTGGCTCAGTAAAAATCAGCTAAAATATTAATATTTTATTTAAAGTCAATGTTAAAATAAAATTATAAAAATTCAACACAAGTTGAATTTCAATTATTTGAAATGTTGTAAAATTTAAATTTTTACTTGTTGGAGTGGCATGAATTTTGATTTTGGCAATCCAGATCTAAAATGGAGATGTTTTCTATAGAAAAAAAAATACAATCAATTTTTATTTTTTTTCAAGTTGAACTGTTAACATGATATACAGATGTACACTGAATCGTGATTGAAAAAAATAAATTCCAATAATAAGAATTCTATTTTCAAAAATGACAGTTGAAGATTTAATTTTTATCTTCATTATTTAATAATCAAATATTCTAAAAAAACATCTTAATCATTAAATTATATATAAATAAATAAATGATAACAATTAAGAGGAAAGTTCAAACTCTTATTTTTAAAATAAATAAATTCCTTTATATAGGTCTATAAATTAATGTCAGCTTTATTCTTAATTCAGACAGCTTTATATTAATATGAAATTTTACATTTTAATATGAGGTGTGAGAAATATAATTCAATTAAAAAAATTAAATAATGTGTTCACTAATATAAGTTATAGGAGTAATATAATTTGTCGAAGAAATAAAGAAATTAAGCTCCAATAACAATACCTTTGATTTTGCTGGTGCTGTTATAAAAATGAATTATACAAGCCAAAGAAATGAATTATGACAAGATGGTGCTGGAACCCACATAAAATATATAAACTGTATGAATAAAAATTGCACTGCAGCTTGGTGCAATGTCTCCAAGTTGACGGTGCTTAGGATTCTAAATGCAAAATTGTATATATATTTACGCAGTAGTAGAATATACTATACCTTATTGCATCATCTACGTACTGAGAAGCGAACTAAGATTAAGGTAATTTTAAGGGGTTTGGATTGGCACTATATATATATATATATAAAACTAAATTCAGAGACCCTTTTTTGCTTTGAGTAAGGTCTCTGCTGATAAAGAATATGTGATGTATATATACTAAGGGAACTTATTTCCACAGCTTTACATAGTTGTCAAAACTTGCAGAGGCAACCATTCCAGTGACAGTAGAGTGAGCCAGGCTGGATACTACATTTTGATGTGCAGATATTGTCATGCTTTTGTTCTCGCTCATGTTCCATAACTCTAAGCACTGAATACCACAATGAAAAAATATATATATTAGTGAATTAGTAGCTGATTAACACATTATGATTGAAAGAATGTAATTGTCACAGTAAACGAAGGGTGGTTACAAGTCTAACAAAACATCTCAAGGTAAAAAAAAAAAAAGATTTCTTTTGAAGATTTGAGACTGAACTAGAAAAAATGGAAGTGAAGGAAAGGAAACCAGAAGCAAGATTGGGTGTTGATGATCTGATTATAAGAGTTAGAGGAAGACCAATGGAAAGTTTGGAAAAATGAAGACCGTGATCTACATGGATTTATTGAATTTCTGGCTTTTGATGAGCCCTAATGGTGTTGTTTGATCCATGAGATGAGGCCAACCCCGGGTAGTCGGATGTTTTTCCATGGCCTGATGCAAGCCCGGAAGATTGGTTTTTGAATCCATGTGTTTATTACAAGTTACAACAGGTAATGAACAAAAGCTTACCGAATATCCTCCAATCACCAACAAAGTTGAATAACTCGGATGAAAAACACAGGAATGAAATTGGCTAGTAGTGGAGCTGATCTCCTGAATGCATTCTCCCGAGTTCAAACTCCAAATCTTTACCATTTGAAGACTCAGAGATGCCAAGGCTTCACCATTCGCATCCCAGCAAATATAGCTCACTGGTTCAGGATGACCCTACACAGAAAAAATGATTTAAACTACAAAAGTCATCAACGATGCAAACTTCCAAATAAGAAGATCGTATTGTTCCATAACCAATCTTCAGTTCCGCCTGCAAATTCTTGTGTCTCATCTGCTTTCTGATTTGCCTAGTTTTTTTTTTTTTTCATCTATGCTGTAAATTAAATAATTATAACTGAGATAATTAAAAAAAAGAGATAGAAGAGAGAAAATGGAACAAACTCCATCAATTATTTAGAAATTAGCTGGATATGAAACTTGCAAAACACAAGCAACCCTAAATTTATGAAGGATGGTTTTAAAATTCATCTCTTTATGATTTAACAATTTCAGTGATCTTTGTTTAAAAGAGATTACATTACAATACTACATTATAGATAAGCAAGCAAATATGCATATAGATTTTACCTGCAGGGAGTAAATTTTTGTGTCAGCTTCAACATCAAAAATTGACACTCCTTTATCCGAAGCTGCTGCTAGTAAATGCCCCAGTCTAGGCTGAAACCTCACTTGTGTATTACCTCCCTGAAACAATCAATTGTGAGCGTGATAAAATATTCAGAGGAAATTATATAATGCATATGCTCAACAAACCTTAGTTACACGGGAGCAGGTGGAAGAATTGATATTCCAATACCGAATTTCATTTTCTCCATCACAGAAGCAGAAAAGTTCAGTCTTTTTAGGATGAAAATCAAGAGACATTATAGCTGAAGAGTGCCCACTATATTCTTGCACACAACGGGTAGGCTGTGCATTGAAAGAAAGAAAGAAAATAGTTAACTGCAACTTGTAGAATATTATTGCAAACAAAAGGAACAAGGTCTGAAGAAGCTCGAATCTGGTTTCGAGTTTTAAACATCAGATGTATAAGCTACACATAATTTATAGGAAAACAGGAGAAAGTCTGTTACATTGGTTGTGTCCCATAACCGAACAGATTTATCAATTGAGGCGGTTGCCAACTGAAGTGAATTTGGTCTGAAACGGACATCTGTAATAACTGCTTTGTGTTCTGCAGGACTGTTCTCTGTCTTTAAAGTGTCCATGCTCCAGACGGAAATCTAATGCATATATCCCCACAGAAAAGCAACATATACAACTTTCAGTATTTAAATTTATATATTGAATAAAAATTTGCTCACAGCAGTTGTTTGGAAATTTAGCCCAATATTACAGACCAATTTCTCAAAAAAATCATTTATGTGCACAAAAAATAATCACCAAAATCCTATACTATATAACAGAAAAAGAATATTTAGAAGAACATGATACAAATTTTGGGATTAAAATGTTGCCGATGGGAGATGCTTGGGATAAAAATAAACTATTTAAGAAACAAAGACGAGATGGAGTAGGAAATTCCTTAGAGTGCTAGTCTTCAAATGAAAAAAAAAAAAATATATATATATATATATATATATATATATATTTATATATATAATGTTCACCACCAATGTTCCTAGAGTGAGGCACAATATCATTAATATTCAAGTGAATTACCTTCATGTCATCTCCAGCACTGGCAAGCCACTTTCCATCTGAAGAAAAGTGACAACAAGTAACTTTGCTGTTCCTTGCTCTCATGCTACCAAATTCTGCGAAGGTGAAACCTGAAGAAAAACAAGGTCAATGATACTTTCCAGTAACAGTTAGATGAAGAAGAGAGCCACATATAAAGATTACCTTTTGAAGACTCTTTCTGTTGCTCAGCCGGGCTTTGTTTCACTGTCCCATAGAGATTTCCACCATCTCCGCCATCATTTGATAAAAATGATTCTACATTATCATCCAAGGCATCAACATCTCCAAATCGTTCCATGTCGTCCTGGTTCATGAAATGATAGTGTCCAGAGCACAATAATTATTCAAGCTTATTAACTCCTTATCTCAAAGCGTGAGCACCCAGAAATTCTAATCAAGATTAATAGTTACTGTCTGTGATAGCTGCTCTAGTTACTTTCAGTTCTGTACAACTGATAACAACTGCATACCAACAGCTGGTGACAGCTATCAATATATTAGGATCTGATAGAAAGTTATGATAAGTTAATTCTGCAATAATTTGATGTATCTCACTCTACGGTAGACTCTACTTCTTGTACTCATGTGATTGACTATTAACAAAACATCACTCAGGTCTTCATCCCTCTCTCTCTGAACTGCTTTTATATTTTACATGTTTGCAATATCAATGGGAACTAAAATAGAACTTTTCAACTAATTATGACTGAAATAAACATATGTAATGATAGATCAATGAGCTACAAATACAAAGTAAAAACATATGCCATAGTGGTCAACATTATTGACAAAACTTACCAGTAAATTGGATGATGATGCAAGGCCTCCTGTTGTCTCTGTACCATACATCATCATGGTCTTTTGAACATTGTTAACTTGCTGCATGCTGCTTGCTGTATTTAATCCATCACCAGGAGTATGAGTTGATGGTGGTGAATTAGGTGAAGGTACAGCAGTGTTACCAGTGCCAGTGCTATTGGCAGCTCCAGAGTGCTGTTTTCTTTTTCTGTTATTCTGATGTCAAAGCAGAAACACTATATTAATTATTAGCGTGAAATTGACAAAAATTTTGGGAGGGACTCGCGGAACAACGTACACCTGGTCACATTGCACAAAAAAAAAAAAAGTGAGGCATTAAGTACAACCTGCTGCAGTTGATGCTGCTGTAATTGCTCCTGCTGTTGAGGTAATGAATGTTGTGACTGAGCCATCTTCATCTGACATGCCCATTAAAGATATAATCAAAAGGGAAAATTAAAATTGATCTCCAAGTGTGAACTCTGTAGCAATCGGTATTATACAGGAAAGCCAAATACAAGATAAAACATAGATTATGTTGGAAAAGAGACAGTGATGTCATTGGGAACAATGTATATGATTTTAATTCTTTATTATAGGTCTTTTAAGAATAAAATGTACTAATTCCTTTATTTGTTTTTGTATAGAAGAACAAAGTAGTGGAAAAAGGCTATGTTTTTGTATGTATAGAACTATCATGCATCAAGAATGGTGGAAGCTCTCACTCAAGCAATTTTTAGAACTTAAGTCTAATTTCTGCAAGTCTATTCTTAAAAAGTTTTCCACGTATGATGCATGTTGAAGTGAAAGATATTATACATGTTAAACAAACAGTGATGTTTATATTAATTGACATTTTTTAAAATTTTCAAAAGCTAGCCCAACCTTAGGTGAATCAGATTGTATTTGGGAGCAAATAGATCCATCATTTCTGTGAGACTGACCATCCTTTGCACTTAAGCTACCTCGAGGAAGACCAGACAGCCTACGAGGATCCATATCACCATAACTAGTATTTCCAAGGTTATTCTGTGCCAAGACCTGCTGCTGTTGTGATGACATAACAAATTGGTTCTGGGTAGTCAAATTGGCCTTGGGAACTTGCACACCCAAATTAGGCCTTAGTTGATCCATTCCCTGTGAAAGAAATAATTGGTCAATAATTCCACTCTCAAGGAGTTGTTAAACAGACTTTAGAAAACAACATTTATCAAGATACCATTCAACTTACCGATGGTAGAGGCCAACCCTTCAATGGAAGACTTGTAACCCCTTGATTTAATCCTGAAGGATAATTAACAAACAAAATCATAACAATCAATGGAAAGATTCCACCATGTCTGATATTCTGCACTATATATTGAAGGCAAATATCACAACAAAGCCATGATGCAAGGGAATAACATTGAAACTACACTTAAAACCCACACTACCAATGCATGAACAAATCCATTGCAAGGTTGCAAAGCTTGCATTTTCAATGAAGAATTTCCTTCATCACTAAAGATATATTGGGAATCATAATTTTAAATTTATGACAATGGATTATTAAGAAAAACAACTGGAAAATAAAAAGTATCTTTCATTTTTCACCACAGAAAACATGTAACGTGAAGCAGCACCCTGGACTTCTAAACCACAGCAATGCATAGAAAAAATAAAATTAAAAGAGTGATGAAAAAGACAGAAAAAGGACCGGGAATACACACAGATATTTCAAATAATTTACCAATAAAATAAGAACCGGGCCCATTATGAAGACATAAAGTTAACATTATTCATATATAGGCCATAAAAGTTAGGAATTTGATGTAACGGCATAAGGTGGCATGGCGGAGCTTCTTAGGAAGCCAAAGGGGGCCTTGGCACCCCATGTATTTCTTTAACATATATATATAAATTGATTTTTACATAAAAATTGATCTTTTAATTTTATTATATTTTACAAGTTTGGTCTCCAAACAATTGAGTGATGATCCACCACTGATGACATGTGGTAATACCTGCACTGCCTAGCCCTGATTTTGATTGTAAAATTGCTTGTCGATAAACTGACGTATCCATAGGTAAACTCTTTGGAGGGGCACCTAAATTAACTTCTGCTTTGATGTCCTGTAAATTTAATCTATCAAGTTGCTTGTCACAGTAGAGGTGAAAGAAAAAGCACATGAAATGGCTAACTTAGAATGGAGTTGAAGTAGTTACAGTGGTCAAAGGAGTCCGTCCAGGAATTTGCTGCAATGCAGTGGACATATTCCCAGAATTTCCATGAACCAATTGGCTGGGGGAGCAAAAAGAATTCAAAACATTAGCAGTCAAATCCAAGATGTTAAGATCCAATTAAGAGTAGCACTCTTACCCACAATAACAAAAAAAATGTTAATCAAATTTATTTACCCTTGATGACTAGCTGCTGATTTGAGTAAGGCCATCCTATTAGCATCCATAAGAGTTGGAGATGCCTCTGAATCCATTGGTTGGGGGTGTTTCATTCGTTCTTCATACATTTTCATTGCCAAAACACTTGCTGGTTGCTGCCCCAGCATTCCTTCAGAGTTCATGGTATTTATTGAATTACCAAGGGCATGATGATTAGGATCTCTTCGCTGTAACTGTGCATTGCGTTGCTGCATTTGCATTTGCTGTATTTGAAGTTGTTGTTCTCTAGCTTTTGATTGCTGTGTCTGCCAACATGCAAATACGTATATATTCAGTTTGCTACCAATAATAACTATTGAACAGAAAAACATAGATTCTACATTATAAAATCACCTCAATGTAAGCCGCAGCAGCCTCAGAATGTTTCTCATTTGTTCTTGAGATGAATATGTCCCAAAAGACAGACCACCACTCGTACAGAAATCCTCCAGGTGCATCAATAGCTGTCAAGGACCAAACAATACAACTCAAACATACACTCCATTGTTCCACAGCCTTCCTATCTACTAAATCAAACTAATAATAATGTCCATTGAGTTTGAGTAACAATGTTTAAACAAAATCCAATATTTTGAAAGGAAAGAGAAAAAAAAAAAAACACAAGTTTAGAGGATAAGTTAATTTCCCAGGTAAACCAATACCCTACTGCTCTCAAGAAGAAGTGGTATAGGGAGAGGAAAAAAGAGAGGAAGAAATAGGAAGGATGTCAATCAAAGGGGAATAGAGCAGAAAAACCCTTCTTTGGATGGATAGAAATAAAAACAAAAGTAAAACAAAAAAATTCTCTCTAACTTTTAGATGAGTTGAAAAGAAATGAATAACTCATACAAAAATCAAACCAACTAAAAAATCCTTTAAACGAATTTAAGGAAATACACTATCAATGTATAATTTTTGTACACTATCAACTCGTCCTAGATAGTACTATTATTGAAATCATTGACTTTTCTCATAATTACTTTTTTGTTCTTTACCAATCCTCCCCAGGACACAATCCTGGTCAGATCACCATTAGAAGCAACATTCTCCCTCCATGTACAGAACTTGATGAAGGTTATCAAAACCATATTTGAATAAAGAATCACAAGCTATTTTTTCAATCGTGAATCGTAATTTTGTATTGAATAATAAGATTCTCATAACTATGCAATTCATGCCAGAACTCAAATTTGGACAGTTGGATAAGCTGGAACAACCCCACAGTTAAGTGGCTATGATAACTAGTTTAAAATTCATACCTAAGGTTATTATGTTACAAGTTGATAGTATACAAATCTTTACCGTGTATAAAAAGTAAACTCTCTTATATATTATCTTTTTTCTTGATATAAAATTATTTTTATGCCACTGCTATAAAATTAATCTGATTTTTCAAACATTTAAAACCAAAAAAAAATATTCTTCCCTCCCATTTCACAGGTGATATTGGTGAAATTCTTATTGATCTGGACCCCACTCCAAAATTTCCCTTTGCCCTATATTTACAAATCCAACTTATTTCCTTTTTCTCTAATTTCCCACAAACAAACACACCGTATATTTTAACAAAGAAACCTCCCTGAACCAATGAACTATAGACTAATATCAAACTAGTCACCCAAAAAGAAGATAATAATAGACAAGAATTTTAACTTAATTCATATAATGATCATGGTGGTGAGGTAAAACATCAACATTGTAAAATAATCACCAATCTCACCTACTGGATCCGTGGCAACTTTTCCTTCTGCGACAAAAGCTTTTGCAGTGGTATGTAATTTTCTTTTCATTAAATAATCATAAATATAAACATCAAGCCTGCAACAAAACATTAAAAGAAAAAAAAAGGAAGCAAATGAACAAACAAGTCAGGATCAAACGCAGAAAAACAGAAAAGGATGGAATGATAATAATAATCAAACAAATATAGGTCAAGAAAAAAGCAAGTGACAACATACATTTTATCAGCTTCCCAATTACTCTGATTCTGAGCCATAGTAGACTTCATAAGGACAAAATCAATTCCCAAGAGACTAAAGATCTTCTCTGCAAAGAAGGAAAAGTCAATCTAGGGAACTCAAC